AAAATGAACGTTGTACTTTCTGAAACAAATGCGATCGAAAAATAGATCAAACAGCTTCAACTATCACCACTGCAAGGAGTTATAACAGAGGCATAGTAAGGACGAGTGAAGCCTATCGGAACACAAACAGGAATGAGAGGATCCTCGACAAACCCCACCAAGACCGAGGCTTGTTGTGTAACATTCAGCTCAACGTTTCACCCAATATTGCCTTAAGGACACTTTAAAAATTGATCATACGTTGGAACATCAGTGAATTATTAGGTGGGCAGCCCACGGTATGAGCGCATGGGGTGATCAAAGTCGCCCACATAGTGTAGCGGAACATCGTCCAGAGTTTGCTTCGAGATCACCAAACAGATACACATGATGCGGTCAACCACACGGACCCCAGTCTTATCGGTTGCACAACATGCAGTTGAGATGGTCATTTACGTCACCTAGCCGTTCACTCTCGACCTTGTGCAATTCGAACCAAGAGTGCCAGTATGGAGCAATCAACACTAAAAGAAAGAAAAAGAAAGCGTTCAGCTGTAGCACCCTTCCGGTGCCCAGCTGCCATGCCACCCGAAAGAAGCACGAGGGCTGGGATACTGCCAGGTTGCCCAAGCCTAGACAGGGGAAGTCGAGTGGCGGAGGTCTGATTCGAACCACGGACCTTCCGGTCAGTAAATTCGCGCTCTAACCACTTGGGCCATCTCGCCCCTAATCAACACTAAACGGCTGATCTTGTGAGAGCAAACTGGAAACTGGTGTCCACCCTGAGATTGGCCATATACCATTCACCTGTTTTCTTACTCCGCGTCCTCGTACGTCTACCTTATAACTACTGCGTGTTTTGTGCCAGCAACTGACGAAGGCAAACGTGCACTGAGATCTCGCGACTTACGTCTTTTTGCAGTTCAAACAAAATTCGGAAACACCTATCCCGACGAAACATAAGCGGTACAGAGAGTACAATGTGACTTTTACGTACAAAGTGTCACTCAGCCATGGTAAGTTTACACAAATGTTAAAAAGAGAAAACACTGTTGTGCGTACGAACTTGCATAAACGGGTATCACTGTGCCAATTCAAATGTCTTGCAAAACGTGGATTTTCCGGCGGAGAGGGGAACCATATATCTAGTTGTAAGATCGGGTGAATGTCCCGAAAGCATGAAACACAGACTTTTGCTTCAGAAGGTCGAATCGGTAGCAAGAATTTGGGACAGTAGAAATATAAACTACTGGTTGACGTATCCTTATCTTTATTGACAATATGGCCAGGTGGATATAAACATCATGCATAGTTGGCGACGACCATCAATTGCCCAATCGATTGCCACATCAGTTGCGGTGAATTACGGGACAAGAAGGAATATGGGGCACAGTGATAAAATAGTCTGGTGATTCTCACACATCCCCACACTGAATACTGGCATAGAGTATTCATTTATTGACCTAATAAGTCACTGCGATTAACCGAGTATGTGAAAGAATGGCCGTCACAACCACATTGACTAAAAATGTCGATAAATGAACGACTCGCTTCGGTCCAACTTGTTGCACATACCTAAGCACCGAGCGGTCAAAGTCCCGCAACCGAATAATGTGGAGTCATTAATTTCCGCTCTATATTCATTCGTAAGATATTAACCCGAATTGCTTCATCTTATTGGATTGTTGGGGTCCATTCGGCGTGTGCAAATTCGGAAATCGACGTAGAGTGACACGTTCGCTACCTTCGAGGGGGCGATAGTTCGGTTCTCCTTTGATAAGACAAACACAAGATCGGAGCATTTCCTTCCCTTTTTCGGAAGATTAGAACTTCAGAGGTTCATTAGTGATAGCGGTCCGTTTTGCGACATTACGGTTAGGCTAGGAAAATTGGACTTAAACAACTGGATAATAAATTCACAATTCAATCAGTCCGAACGTGATGCAGACCGATAAGAGCTCAAAATCCAAGCTCAAATGTGCCATATCGGTTGAGACACACAACACAAGTGTAAGCTTTTTGTAATCCTTGCTTAATTTTCTGAGGCTCGAGATAGCTCAGTGCTTAAGGGGTAATATTCAGAATACCCGTGGTTCGAACCGGACCGGGCCTCTGCCTGTTGGACGATCCGGTAGTATCCCAGCCTCCGTGTCTCTTTTTGTTGGCATGGCAGATAGGCACCGAAGAGATGCTAGAGCTGAACGATTTGATTTTTTTTTGAAATTTTCTAAGGGCAGGCTGGTGTTCTCATTGAGCACTGCGAACGGAATGGTATCACAACGCAAAGCCGGGCGATATAGGATGGCAGGTCAACTTATCACCCAGCTTTTGACCATATCTTGTATATTTTTGACCAAGCTAACTTGCAACTGCAGCAGACACTGACCCCTTGAGAATGAGCTTGAACTGGATTGGAGAGGCAAATAGATGTACAGAAACTTATTCAAAAAAACGGAAAAGGCTTGGAAATAGTCTCCTCCCTGATGGGAATCAGTGGGGCAAGAATGTATAAAAAAAAGCGAGAACGAGGAAATCCACCAACTGACGCGGAACGGGCTTACAACACTCTCAAATTCTAGATTTTGCATGAGGCTTTTATGACAAAGTAAATTGCTTGTTCAAGTGTAAGCTAAACTTACGAAGACGCTTCTGAAGAAATACAGACTTTCTACAGGGAACACCCCTGATAAGGTGTATTGTCTCTTGATCCCCGGGAAAGATGTTTCAGAGAATATCGTTTTACCTGAGCTTAAATTAGAGGATATATAGTTCGACCCATAGCAAAATAGCGTGTTTAACGACCTAATAAATACTGTCGGTGATACGGCATCAAGTGACACCCCTAACTGCAATGTCTCGCCCGATACTCACTCCCATAAACACTAAGGAAATATTTCGCTTTTATCCAAGTTTAACAAAACAAGACCTGGTTTGGCCATAGACGCACCAGTTGAGAACACATCTATTTGAAACCTCACTGTTCGACTCCGGAAAAAGCATTCAAGGTTGAAGTTTAATGCCTACCTAGCATGGAGCTTTCCGGTATTCCACATCAAACAGGAAATTCGGCACTACCTTGTACCGGGTGTCCAATGAATTACTTCAGAAAATGTTTAGCCGAAAGACCCGCTGAACTCTACGATGCCCGGAAAACTGTGAAAGCAATTGAGAAGTCAATTTTTCAGGTTCCGCAATACTCGAACCATTGAGTCCCTAGTCCTCTGCAGTGATGCAGCTTTGTACAGGCATTAAAGGCAATTTATTCAATAACAGTCGACATTTCGTCGGGATTTATCAATCTGTAATTTGCCATGTTTATGTAACGATGTGTTCTGACGCCAGGCGCGGGTGCACGCAGCATTATAAGCAGGAGTATTCCTCTATATATTCTTATATATGCATATTCTTATATTTCGGTTGTCCTTCTTCTAAACTTAAGAAACTATCTGACGGAGAATTTCGAACACGACTCCGTCGCGGTCGCATTAACATAGCAGTGTGAATAGATACTTCAGGTATTGCGAAATCCCCCTGTGGGTCACACACACACACAGTTTGATCAACAGTTTGATCGCACTTCATCAGCGGTGGGCGCATCGCACTGACAAACGGCTTAATCGCGCGGTTCCAGATTGGCCACGGTCCGCAATAACTCCAGATCACTCTGGAAGTACGCAAAGAAGTAAAAACGCGAAGCAGTGTCGCAGGAGTTCAGAGCGAAGGCTTGTGAGGATGTGCAGAAGCTAGGCTGAACAAGGTTGACATAATCGGGTTGCGCGGGAAGACAACAGGGTTGGTGCTGACTTCGATTAGCATACGTCATACTCCTCACAGGTTGTTGCATGAAGTTTGCTGTGAAACTCATGAAATTCACAAGATCGTGCCAGAAAAATTCACCAGTGATTTGCTTTTGTTGTAGCATACGACTTACAGATTTCAGTCGAGATTTCGCCCTGAAAGTGAAGCCAAGCTATGCTGAAAAGTTGAGGCATGGCGCAGCTGTTTCATCTTTATTGGAAGTCAACGGCAGTGCGCATCTCAGGAAACTATGGGGAATTTCGAATCCGCAAGCTTTCAGGGTGTCAGTCGGATACTTAACCGTTCAGCCACAAGCTGCTGCTTATTATCAGCGGTGTGAATAACCCGCACGTAGACGGGATGTAGTGAGGCACGTCCAACAACCACGGAAATATAACTTTGAAGTCGTAGTGAAGGACGTGAAAGCACCGATACCTAAAGATGGTTGAAGAGTTACTGAAAGTAGGCATGTGTGATGTTAGGCCGCATATATAAGCTAATGAAAAACGTCGGTCTGTAATTCATGTCTACAACTGGTATCAGTGTATATAACGTGTGTGTGTGTGTGATTGAAGCGAGGTTATTAAAACCTAAACAAGAAAAACGTGCACTACCTGAAGGGAGGGCTTTGCTGACGCACGTTTTTCTCACGTTATGAAGCAACCCGATGGGTTATTTCCAAGCGAATTTCATTAGTATGACGGATGGCAAAGTAGATTCGTTCAGAGTAGGAGTAGAACGATTGATTGGCTCAGTACACGTTCCGCAAAAAAATCACACCAAGAAGTGGAGCTCGTAAGGTGACATATCAGATTTGATATGGACTGATCGTCGTGTAGATA